TTTTTTATTACATTTTTAAAATATTATATAAATAGTATAGAAGTATGGTATAAGTCTTTATTCAAGCCAGGGGGTTCAACTACGTATGGCTTCATGGGATAATAAGAATGTATGTTTTAATATTTAATCAAATAGTTACAGATTACTGCACAATACTGTAATTAGCTAAACTTAAATACAATCAATTGTATTTCGATTTACTGTATCCCTTGGTTTCTTTGTTTTTGCAAAAATTTTTTGGTGGGCTGACTTTTTTTGTTAGCATTTTGTAACGTTGCATTTTGCCAGCCCTGTCAATGTGTTAAAGTCTATTACCACATTCCTACCAAATCACATGGAAATATTGTATAGTATTTTTTCTCAAAACATCCCACATTCCCCCACCTACCCCCTATGGCCCTCCCACTGACCCCCACGAATTTTTTCATGGCCCCCACCGCCTCCCCACACCACTTTTTTGGAACCTGACCGTGATCATACCGTCTTTACCTATCTTTGGACAAAACTGTCTTATTGCCATGATTTATTTCATCGTCAAGAAGAAATTTAAAGTCATAAATTGATTCATAGGGGGTTGTTGCGCAAAACATCATTATTTATACAACTAAGTACGTTTAAAAACCAATTTATATGGAGTTAACAATATTTTGAAACCAAATAATATATACACATATATTGGTGCGCATAATTATTATATCATCATCACTTATATAGTCCTTTATTACACAATTCTTCTTTTTACGTACATAAACTTAAGTTAAATTTAGAGTATCATTAATATAAACAATGAAAGTTTCGCATCACTTTATGAGTCATCTTATAAAGCCTGATGAAACCACGAAGACTTACGTCCATTTCTATTTTGTTTTAAATTAATGCTGAAATTGGTACAATAGATGAACACGATATACATTCATGATATGTATTATTAATTAATAAATTTTACCTATACATAAAAAAATAATAAGTAAATCATGTTATGAATATTAGATACATTATTATATTCAAAAATTTCTTTCCAAACTATATTTTCAATCTCTAAACTGTTTTCTCTATCGACTTGAACAAAAATTCCATTTTTATTTTTGCATCTTGATAAAGCCACGTATAATTGACCATGAGAAAATAAAGGTTTTTTTAAGTATAATCCCACATTATCAAAACTTTGACCTTGAGACTTATTTATAGTCATAGCAAATGCTACAACTAATGGGAATTGTTTTCTATATAAAATAAAAGGTAATGATGAAGTATTTCCAGTATTTAATGTAATTCTTGGAATGAAAACTTTATTACCAATTTTTTCTCCCGTTACTATTTCGCCTTCTACGTTATACTTCAGTAATTTAGTAATTCGCAATCGTGTACCGTTACATAATCCGTCTGATATACTCAAATTTCGAATTAACATTACTATTGTACCTATTTTTAATTTAAGTTCATGAGGTGGCAAGCCTTCACGAATGTTGTTTAACATTTCTACGGGAAAATTTATATAAATATTATCATCTGATTTATCAACACCTTTATATGTTGCAGTATCGATGCTGTAATAAGTTTTAGTTTCCCCATGTAATTTACTTAAAATCTTATTGTTTAAAAAAAATGTATATTCATTATGTGAAGTTAGTATCACGTTGCTGTCAAAACAGTTGCTGTAATTACCAAAT